TGACTTTTCTAAAGCGTTTGACACTATAGATCATCAGCTTCTTTGTGCCAAACTCAAATATTTTGGTTTCGATGAAACCTCACTAAGATTTTTCAAATTTTATTTAAGTAACCGCTACCAAAAAGTAACGTTAGAGAAATCATCTAACTTTATGTGTGTAACATCAGGAGTACCCCAAGGCTCGGTTCTTGGTCCCCTTTTGTTTTCCATATATATTTCAGACCTTTATAAATTATTGGAGCATGTAAATATACACTCTTTTGCTGACGACACGCAACTATATTATTCCTTTGACCCATGTGATGTAGATATAGCCTCGCAAAACATGAATTCAGATTTAAATGCAGTATATACATTTTCTATGAATCATAACCTTAAACTAAATGCCAGTAAATGTCATACAATATTATTTTGTCCTAAAAATATAGAACATAATGTACAACAGAACCTTAAGCTATTCATTCAAAATGAACCTCTAAAATCTTGTAGAAGTGCCAAAAACTTAGGCATTATTTATGACTGCAAATTAAGGTTTCAGGACTATGTTTCGCTCCTAGTCAAAAAATCGTATCTGGTTATTCGTCAATTATACAGGAATCGAGGTATTTTGAGTTTCAAATTACGTAAGTTGCATTGTGAAAGTCTAGTATTGTCCATCCTAAATTATGGACTTTTAATTTACTATCCTTGTTTGGATCAAATAACCAAATACAGACTTCAAAAGATTCAAAATTGTTGTTGTCGTTTTGTATTTGGTATCAGAAAGTATGATAGAATATCAAATAAAATTAAAGAACTTAGCTGGCTCAATATAGGAAATTTATTTAAATATCAGATGGCGGCCACGGTATTTCAAATTCTTTTAACCTCAACTCCCATATACTTAAAAAATAAATTGATATATCGGAAAGATCTGCACAGTTTACATTTAAGATATCCACACAACTTAACGATTCCGAATTACCGATTATCATTTTTCAAAAGATCTTTCACATATAACGCCATTTCAATATATAACAGTCTACCTAGGGAAATTAGGACATGTTCTTTGACATTTTTGAAACAAAATTATAAAACGTTGCTATTAGTTGAGCAATGAATACAGTGCTAACGTTAATATATTATTAATTTCTAACATTTTTCCTTATTTAATTGTATTTTAAGTTCCATTGATTTCAGTTTAGATTAAATACAGGGTTAACATTTTTAATCATAAATTAATTGTATATTAAATTTCTTATTTTTTTTATATATTGTAAATGATGGATACCGTTTGATTATTTTAAATTTATATTTATGTTGAGGTTAAGTTGAGTAGCGCAAGCTAGACTTCGCCTCATGATGTTTATGTGCATTGTATATTACAAGCAAATAAAGGCAATTTATTATTATTATTATTATTATTATTATTATTATTATTATTATTATTATTATTATTATTATTATTATTATTATTATTATTATTATTATTATTATTATTATTATTATTATTATTATTATTATTATTATTATTATTATTATTATTATTATTATTATTATTATTATTATTATTATTATTATTATTATTATTATTATTATTATTATTATTATTATTATTATTATTATTATTATTATTATTATTATTATTATTATTATTATTATTATTATTATTATTATTATTATTATTATTATTATTATTATTATTATTATTATTATTATTATTATTATTATTATTATTATTATTATTATTATTATTATTATTATTATTATTATTATTATTATTATTATTATTATTATTATTATTATTATTATTATTATTATTATTATTATTATTATTATTATTATTATTATTATTATTATTATTATTATTATTATTATTATTATTATTATTATTATTATTATTATTATTATTATTATTATTATTATTATTATTATTATTATTATTATTATTATTATTATTATTATTATTATTATTATTATTATTATTATTATTATTATTATTATTATTATTATTATTATTATTATTATTATTATTATTATTATTATTATTATTATTATTATTATTATTATTATTATTATTATTATTATTATTATTATTATTATTATTATTATTATTATTATTATTATTATTATTATTATTATTATTATTATTATTATTATTATTATTATTATTATTATTATTATTATTATTATTATTATTATTATTATTATTATTATTATTATTATTATTATTATTATTATTATTATTATTATTATTATTATTATTATTATTATTATTATTATTATTATTATTATTATTATTATTATTATTATTATTATTATTATTATTATTATTATTATTATTATTATTATTATTATTATTATTATTATTATTATTATTATTATTATTATTATTATTATTATTATTATTATTATTATTATTATTATTATTATTATTATTATTATTATTATTATTATTATTATTATTATTATTATTATATATTATAGCTCGGCAATGAGCTATAATATTATATTATATTATTACTGCAGTGGACGAGAATATATATATTTTTAATTTTTTAATATAGTAGGCTAATCCAGTGAACTATATAGTGTAGTTGCTAAAATATCGATAGCTCATCAGAAGATGAATTAGATGCTGAAAGCGACAATGTATTATTATTAGCAATTAGGGTTAGTAACCAAAAGGAAACATCAAGATTCTGGTTATCTTATCATATCAAATACCGAAAAGATCGAGAAGAATTTACACTTTTTAACGAATTAAGTGACAAAAAATTTACAAATTATTTTCGAATAAACTGAACTGAATTTTATGAATTTTATAATTTAATAAAAAATTATATAGAAAATACGCCGAAAAGCATTAGTTCCTTAGAGCGACTGGCATTTACTTTAAGATATGTATATAGATAGATTATACTTAGTTATAGGAAAGTGACTTTTACTAAAAAACTAAAGAGTTTAGAAAAAAAATATATTAATACATAAAAATTACAAATTTGTGTAGAAATAGCAACTAATTTTACAAACCTACAAAATCTTTTTATCAAATCATATTCAAAACAAACATGTAAACAACGTCGGTTTGCTTTCTTGGCGGGCAGAGCGACACAAGAGGGGGGAAATATATATCCTAAAAATCGCTCGGAAAGCATATTTCGCCCAACTTTAAATATATCGCCCGGCATCGCTGGGATATAGATATATATTATAGCATTAATGCGCGGCTACTTGCACTATTTAATGCAATGCGATATTTTTATAATATGTGAGCTATAATATATATTATATTATCGCTCATCGTCCGTAGCCGGCTTAAAAGAAAATCAAAGTATGTGTCAAGAACATTCTAGATGACAAGTCTTGATTGTTCGAGAAGTTTCCGGAAGGGAAGGCAAGCTATATAAGGCGACGATCTGACGTCAGAGTTCAGTTTTATGATAGACGTTATACGTGAATGTTACAATATGTCATTGGAATGTTATCAGTTGTAAAGTTATTGTCAAAGTTGAATTATAGTTATTATAAAGTTCATTTAAAATAAATTGTGATACCAAAAAACCAGCGTAACAATATATTCATAGTCTAAGATCCGAAGTAAGGTCGACCTTCACCCATCTGTTTAATGGATGAAAGTTTATTTTTATTAAATAAAATATTTTCATAAATACAGCGCAAAAGGTTTTGCCTAAGAAAATATAGTCCAGAGTATTTATTTTCTTAAAATAAAAAAAACGACACACTGTAAAGTATTCCTTAGATGCTTCGATAATGTCTAAACTTTAATCAGCTTGCCACAGGATAGATTAAAGCTTAAGTTTAAAATTTGGTGTTTTTCTCTTTATCCGTTTTTGTGTCTTCAAAATTAGAAATTTGCAGTTTTCCTCAAATATCTCGAATTAGGTCTATTTTAGGGAAATTATGTATAGGAACAAAATAATAGAGAATGGCATCATAAGCAACTTTTATCATGATTCCTATACTTTCCTTATCTGTACACAGAAAGGAAAGCAAAAAAATGGCCCTGACCGTATTTTCTTAAGCAACACCATTTGCGGTATATTAAAAACATATTTTGTTTAATAAAAAAAAACTTTTATCCATTAAACAGATGGGTGAAGGTCGACATTACTTACGGATCCTGTATTATCAAAGAAGAATTATTTTCATCATCGGGTAATTATTACTGCTGTAATATTATCTTTATTTCATCGTAAAATTATCAATATTTTGGGAATTATTTTTAAACGACCCCTTACAGTTAGGCACACCAAAAACCTTTATTGAACAGTTTTCTCCTTGTTGTAGTTTCGGCTAAAAAGTCACTAAAAGAACGTTGTGTATGCCTATGTTAAATACATTGCCCATGCCTGGCCTTAATTATCCAAATAATTGTATGAAATATCAGATTTGGGAAGTTGTAGTCAAAATCTACCACGAGAAGAATTCCACCTAGATAGATATGTTAAGGAATATGAGCATAAAATATTAATAACTCCTCCATATCACTGCCAGAACCATGCGATAGAGATGGTGTGTCACAGAGCAAACGGTTTTATGACGAAAAAATTTTAATAACAAAGTTGTCACCGGAAGATGAAAATGATATTGATTAAAAACATTTATATGAGTTATCCAATAAATATTTTCTGCACCTCTTATTATAATATATTGTTTTAACAAAGAATTAATCTGTTTTACGAATTTGCACCTGTTTTGGATTACCTTTAAAAACACTAAAAACGGTAAAAACCAATTTTAAGCTGGGAAATTTATTTATAAAGAACGAAAGTAAATTGTTCTAGTATTTGTAAGCTAGTACGCTAAGCAACAACAAAGCGCAACTTAAATAAGACACGTGCAAAGTAATACTCTTTTGTCAGAGGACTTGGGGTATTTCTATCACTATACCACTACTTTAATATATTATATATTTCTGACTTATGCTTGTATCACTTTATTAAGACGTATAAATATGATTTTAGTTTATAGGAGGAAAATTAATTTTGTTTTTATAGTGTAAACAATTATACTACTGCATCAAGGAGGCGATGGAACGTGGAGGTGTGGCAGGAACGGCGCCTGAACTGGGTGGAGAGTTTCCAGTGCAGGATATGAGCACGGGGGAGGGTGGTTTATTGCAGGTCTGCATGGAGGGTGTAGGGTTACTTTTCGCGAACAGCAAGGTATTTACTTGATTAAATTTATTCTTATTAGATTATTTTTGGTAGTTAATTAAAATATTATTGTGATTTTAGAATCTTGGTGTGCATTGGTTTAATTCCTAATGACGAGTTTTAGTATTTAGTTTGTTTCTTTTAACTTTTGTAAAATTAGTTTCATGATAGAAACGGCAGTAAAGCTCTCGTATTTCTAGTAAAATATTTTGAAAGAGTATGAAATAAAAATTCGAATTGTTAGATAATACGTACATCGATAAGAAATATTTTGAAAAATGTCTAAATGACAATGAATAGTTAAATAAAGCTATACAATGTACCCTATTAGTGTATACTTCTTTATATTTACAGATATATAACATGAATATAATAAAATTTACAATTATAAGTAAAAATAAACATGTTCCACATATTGCTGAGGTGAGATGGCGCAACTGAAAATAATTCTGTCAAAATGACACTTTCTTTTGCATACAAAACCACAATTGTGATAAAGTTTACAAACTTGGAGCAGGAAATACGAAACCATTTGGAGTAACGTAAAAAATTAACCCAGTTATCAGATTTTGTGGTATGGGAATATATTTCGCCACAAGTGCAAGCCTCATCATAATCGTCCACCTCATCTAAAGAGTCATCCAGTGTCAGTGCTTCTAGATCCTTATCTGACAATGACTCATTTTTAGAAGTTTTCTTGTTATCTTTTTGAAAACTTTTGATTTTTTAAAAACTGGTTTTATTTTACTGCGGTTTTTCTTTCTGCGTTGTTTTAGTCGCTTTTTATTATTCTTGTAAATTTTTGCCTTCTTATTAGTGCCAGTTCTTGCTCCTTCGTCGAACGGAATTAACTTCAGCAGAAACAACGGGAACGTGTGACATTAAGAGCTTTCTTTTTAAGGCTTTAATGTTCTTGGTGTATCATACCATAATGAAAAAAAAAAAAAAGACTTATAATGGTCTACAATTGACGAGACTATGTACTGTTACCTTCTTTTAGATTTCTTCGATATAAATTGTACTTAAGAGGTGATTTAGCTCAAATTGCTGATACTGCGTGGATTCATAAATTGACTAGGACAAATGAAATCAGAGTAGCTTGACCGGTTCGCGGGCCAATGTCTACTTTACGATAAAATGAAAGATATAATACGATAACGACAAAAAAAGTTGAGCACCAACAAGTTTTTGAGTAACTTAGAAAACTTATCTAATTTGATATGTCCTGTTTAATTGAGTCAGTCTCTGGTACTTAAAGTTATCTGTATGAGTTTCTGGAAAATAAAAGAAAGTGAGATTTAATACATTTAATAAAAAATAGTAAAAGGGTGAAATTTTACATATAAAAATTAGATAGTAATTAAATCACATAGCAAATAAAATTGACTAATATTATATGAATAAATGAATTAATAAAATTTACTGTTAGGTACTTTAATAAATATTAATTTGTGACCATGTGGCATTCTAGTACGGTAAGTACGGTACTTCCCTTTTGTATGTCCGCCTTTAGGTACTTTGATGGGTCTTCTTGTTTCTTAGAGCTGGGATCTTAGAGCTTCCTGGAGCAACTACGTAACTCAGTACTTCTCTTAGATCTACCTGGAGCAACTAGGAGCTTCTTGGAGGAGCTTGGAGCTTCTTAAAGCTTATTGGAGGATCTTAAGCTTCGTGGAGGAGCCTCTTCTTGAAACCACTACAGGTTTAGAAATAAAAGAACCTCAGTACCGTGTGTAAAAGTACATATACATGCCAGTTTGGAAATCAAACGGATTTATGCATAAACGGGACAAATATTAAAGTTACATCGCCTGAACAGAATATAAAGTATCACGACAAATATTAAAGTTACATCATCTGAACAGAATATAAAATATTTTTAAGGCCAAAATAAGTTACAACAATAAGTTTTACATCATCTGAACAGAATATAGGCTATTTATAAGGCCAAAATAAGTTAAGAGCCATAAATTTCCGTTTAAACTGTATTTCCAGAGTGACTTGTAATTCAATTATTTAGTTGCTTCCCCGCGCATATATCAAAGTAATTCAATGATAACACATTAATATTTATATATAAGAGAGCCTAAAAATATTATTAGTTAGGATAGCTATAATCTGTATAATATAAAATAAAATAAAATAAAATAAAGCAGTAATAAGAAACCGGCATTCATCGGCATGGCGGTAATAAAAAAACAAATGGCCGATCTCTTCGGTTTTCCAACGAAATCCAGCAAAATGGTAATAAATAAAACATTTACCTGACATTGATCCCAACGTTAACACACAATAGACACATGAAATACAGATAATTACTAGCAACTCATTTTAATATACAGGGTGTACCAATAAAAACTTCCAGGCCGGATATTTTAGTAAGTAATAGAGATATTTTAATTCTGTAAAAATCAGTTTATAGACCGCTAAAAGAACTTCAGTTTTAGATATAAATTAATTTTAAATAGGTCAATATGTAGATGGCGCTGCGCTCAATATTTTTTTTTCGATGGGAGGATCTTTCTTATGTAGCGCATTTAGTAAAAAATACATTTTTAAGCAAATTTTGTTCTATAAACTAATTCGATAAATCTAGCCATTTTTGATATACAGAGTGGGTCATTCAAAACAGTTTCATCCTGTTTTACGGCATTAATCATTGTATTTTTAGAAAATACTAAAACAGGTCGATTTTTATTCCAAATTAAACACATTTTTACAATACAGACATCTGTCATGTGTCAACCCCCTCCCTTCCACTTCTCCAACCCCTTAATTTTAAATAAGGAATATACCATGTACGGTATATCATTAGAAAGGTAATTTTATGGGGAAGTCAGAAATATGACAGTTAATTGTGATACTTTTAATTTTAGCGCCCTCTATCGGGATAAAAAAATCTGTAACGTAATATTAAGTGTGACAATTTATTTAAAAGCTAATTTAATTACTTGATCAATGCAACACATAACATTAATATAAATATTTCCATATTGCACTTGCAACAAAATAAAGTTAGCAATAATATTTAAAATAATGCATGACTAATTTTCAAACTATTGCAAGTGCAATGGGGAGGATATTTATATTAATGTTATGTGGTACATGGAATTAGTAATTAAATTTGCTTTCAAATAAGGTGTCACACTTTAAAATACGTAGTTTTTTATCCCGATAGAGGGCGGTACAATTAAAAGTATCGCAATGAACAGTCATATTTCTAAATTCCCCATAAAATTACCTTTTTTATGATGTACTACACATTGTAGTATCACACTCTATAATACGTAGTAGTTTTTTTTATCCCGTTAGAGGGCGATAAAATTTAAGTAACGCAATGTAAAGAAAAATTTCTGAATCTTTCATTAAATTACCTTCTCAATAATGTACCATACATGGTACATTACTTATTTAAAATTAAGGTGTGGAGAAGTGAAAGGGAGGGGGTTAACACATGACAGATGGCTGTATTGTAAAAATGTTTTTAATTTGGAATAAAAATAGACCTGTTTTAGCATTTTCTTAAAATCCAATAATTAATGCTAAAAAACAGGATGAAACTGTTTTAAGTGACCAACTATGTATATCAAAAATGGCTAGATATATGGAATTAGTTCATAGAACAAAATCTGCTTAAAAATTAATTTTTTACAAGATGCGCTACACAAGAAAGATCCTCCCATCGAAAAATAATTATTGAGCGCAGCGCCATCTACATATTGACCTATTTAAAATCAATTTATATCTAAAACTGAAGCTCTCTTAGTGCTCTGTGAACTGGCTATTACAGAATTAAAATATCTCTATTACTTACCAAAATATCCGGCTTGGGAGCTTTTATTGGTACACCCTGTATTTATCGGCACTTTGAATTCGAACACCAAAAAGAAAGATTAAATCCGAACGAATAGGGTTTTATAAGGACTGGTTGCCCAAAGAAATTCTATGGACTGTGCGCCGACCAGCAGATCATGCGCAAACGATGCTTTGTAAAAATCGATAATGGGAAGCGAGCAGTGGTCGTATGTTTAAGTTGTGTTACGAGGGGTTATGGAGAAGTTGTTGTTGAAAATAAATTTGAAATTAATTTAAAATTAATTTCACGTAACAGTACTTTCTATCGACCATGTGCTTGACAAGAAAACATGTGTGAGTTGCTCCAGATCTACAAGCACCGTAACAATAGAACGTTCAGTTTGAGTTAGGAACAGCTCTAGTACTGCTTGCGAGTACCAGATGACCTAAAAGAAATAATTTTAGCATTTTTCCAGGGTTAGTAGATTTCACAAGAGTATTCACATCAGTTTCTGCAGGCGGTTCACTTTATTTTTCTGGGACAGTTTCACCTCAAAAAAATGAATCATCCCAAAAACGGACCACACCTTGAAATATTCGCAATTTTAAGATTATATAACCAAACTTGACTAAAATTATTCAAATTTTTAGTTCTCTAACGCAAAGAAATAATTACGAAAAATATTTTTAACAGAGTCAGATCACAATATAAATAATATTTAAATAGGTTTTTAATCTGTAAATAAACGCGGACACAGCTTATTTAGTCTGAACTTAGGTGCGTTATAAAACTGTTGCGTCATCTCAACTTCTGCGGCATCTATCTTCTAATATAACATAATAGTTTTAATATAAGATCAGAAGCACTAATGGGATATCTTGTATATTTTGTATATATTTCAATTCCGTGTAATTAAAAAAATAGTTTAATAACAATGTACACCAATTTATAACATTCTTAATTTTATATAGTCAAAATTGAAGATTAAAATATTGTTTTTGACCTTCAATACTATTTTTTGTAATGTGGCTCACTGTACAGACTACGGATTTTTATATTGTATAAAAAACTATTTAGGTGTTTGAAACTTTCCAGATTAACAAATACATTCTTTAGGATGCTTTTCATGATTTTAGGAATTAGTTAAAGATCCAGTTGTCGTATCTGTAGCCACCGCCTATTTTATTATGATTGTTCCGTGTCGTTGGAGGCG